ATTTCAAAATTGGATTTACATGAATTGTTGGCTCATTATAATGAAGGATCTCATGGCAATATTTATAATGTTTCTTGCCACTGGCTTCCTCCCCTGATCTTTAGCAAACTCTTTCTGGTGCTGATACCGAAAAGAGACCAAGTGAAAACTGTGTAGGACTTCACACCTGTTAGTTTACTAGGAAGCATTAACAAACCAATCACCGAGATGATCTTTGCTAGTCTGCAATCGCTCATTAGCTTGCTAATCTCGGAAGCATCAATAAACTCATTTAATGATGGGTAGGGTATGGGTAAACTCCATGTGGGTTGTGATTTTATTACCCATTAAATTACATTATAACTCGTGCAGTGAAGAGAAAGTAACATAAATGTGAACTGTTTGATAGATTTTTCATTTGATAATACACAGAGTTTATAGTCGAGAGTAAGGGTGGACAGCGAGCTGGTTGGGTTGGTTTGGACTATAAAATTAATCCATCCACTCATCAACGAATTGACAATTTTCTACCCATCACCCACCCACGCTTACTACCGGGTTGGATCGGACGGATAACAGATGATGCAGATGGATGAGCGGGTTGAGCCACTAATTAAGAAATACATAATAAAGCTAATGCACTGATTATATAAATTATGTGGATGTAGAAGATAAAAACGGATTTAAAGTTAAAAATCAAGCTACATAAGTCTATAGTTATCATCATGTTGTCATAAATTTCACAAACAGATGTAAAAGTTAACAAAATAAATCTAGCAACCCTGGCCTTCTGGAATTCCAATGGGGAAGCTATGGAATAGTGGAAAGACATCGGATGTTGGCTTTGGATGAAGGAAAAAATAGGGAAAGTCAGGATGTTTTGGAGAGATAATAGCAGAGCGGGTAATGGAGTCGGGTTTGAAGGTAATCTGCGCACCCACATATCACCCCATCCGCCTTTTTCGAGTTTCAAATCAGTCCATCCATGACCTGCCCGGGAACCCACCCACACACAACAGTTCATTTTATCTGCGCACATGCACAGCCCTAGTCGAGAGTCTAGACACTTACTATTGTCACGAAAAGCAATTATCTTGATTGGCAGGAGCAAGTTGAGGAGAAGTCCAAATTTGGTGATCAAATTATTTTAAACCTAATTTGTTAGAAAAGAAGATAAAGGGATTGAGCTTTGTGGTGAGTCTTTTGCCTGGAAAAGTTGTTGTTTTGACGAGTCTCTTGGACATTCTATTATCTCACTTCCAACTCCACCCCCCCCCCCCCCCCCCCATTTTAACCAATAAGATGAGAAGGATGAGTGGATGACCAAAGCGTGAAAAATGTTAGTTTGTATCTACGTGACACGGTCATCCCAAAGTTTATCAAAAAGCTTCATCCGCTTAGAGTATCACCGGAGGATGGAAAAACAGTTAGCGACACACTTTATGCTTATGGAATCAATGTCAGATACTTAAGAATGGTGAGCCTGTCACAACTTTTTTTTACACCCAAGCTGGATTGTTACATTACATTTCCTGTGTTCGATAAAACAAACCTTTTTTTTTTCTTTTTTCCTTTTCCTTTTATCTTGATCTTAATTGTGGACTAAAGCTGTATGGAGGTTTGTTGATTTGGCTATAGCTCTAGTGTACCCTAGTCTTGCTTCCTTATTGAAATGTGTAATTTTTAGGTGATTGAAGGGACGAAAAATTAACTCACGTGTGGAACTTATGCATTAATGAGCTTGTTGTCAGATCTGCAAAGCATATATTGAGGGTGATTATTGATTTCTTATTTGATGACATCGATGATTTGTATAATTATATTAGGATCTAGCATATTGTGTTTGGTTCTGTATCATAATTTGACATCTCATAAGTTAATTTGTGATCTAGGATCTGATGAGAAGTGTGAAATGTCACTTGACATACCCAAACTTCCATTTAAGGCTAGCCTTAACCACATTCTTAGCTGTCATAAGACTGCAGTGCCATAGGTAGCTTATATCCCTCCCTCCGATGTTGTTATGATATCATAATTCGGATGATACTTTGACTTGAGTAAGGGTGTCGTTAAAGTGTATGGGTTTTACAACAGATTTCAAATATGATTTCATAGTAAAGCACAAATCATAAGTATTTGGTTCGCTCTATGCGGCGGGTAAAAGTGGATAACTAAGATTGAGCTCCACCGAAGTAAATTAAATCGAACCTTTAATTATAGTGATTTGAATCATACTTCTATTTATTTTGTATTCTCAAATTTATGGATTCTATTAATTAAAAAGATTAGCAAACTATAAACCAAATCAAACCCATGACCAGATCAAACATCATTTTGTCTTCGTGAAGCATTTTGGAAACCTTTTATAAGTTTAAAATTCAAGTTCTTTGCTTGATGCATGATTAGTAATAGAAATAAATTGGTACAAATGTTTTTAAATGAAAAAGATAAAAAAAAACCATGAAAATCATCATAAATTTTTTAAAAAATATTTGCATTGTATTTTCTTGTTATCATAGTGTATAATGTAAATCTCTTATGGTTGCCCCATCAAGAAACCAAAAAACAGTACAGAAATTCAACTTTTCCACTGTAAGCATGTCAATGCACAATCTAGGTTTTTCATTTCAATTAATCCAATTGATTTGTTTTTGGAGTTCTGAAGAATCAAGAGATTCAATTTCTTTTCATCTTCAATTAACTAGAGTCACCTGAATAGGCAATGAGAACTTAATTAAGTAGATGATGAAAATTATTTTAGAACAATCAAATAGTATAAACAAATAATAGAGTAAACTACAGGGTTTCCTCTGGACACTCTTCTTGTCAGTTATCTAGGGGTTCCCTTACTAATAGGAAAACTGAGCTCTCATGATTGTCAGGTGTTAGTGGACAAAATAACAATAAGGGTGAGAAGCTGGCAATCTAGATTTCTTAGTTATGCAGGTCGCCTGCAGTTAATTTCTTTAGTGGTAACAAGTGTTATTCATTACTGGATGACAATTTTTCTTCTGCCAATGATTGTTTTGAAACTGATTGAGAAAATCTGCAATTACTTTATATGGAATGTGGGTGTAGGGGGTTCCAGAAAAAGTGTGCCAGTTGTTTGGGATTATGTTGACTTGCCAACAAAGGAGGGGGGACTGAGGGTCCGTGACTTTAAAACCTAGAACCAGGCTTGTGTCATTCGCCATGTCTAGAATCTCATTGCAGAGGCAGGCTTCATCTGGGTTGCCTGGATCTACAAATACAGGGTCAAGCAGAGAACTATTTGGGATCTTCAGATTACTGTTAGTGGCTCTTGGGTGTGGAGGAAAATTTCCAAATGCAGACCCAGAGCCCAGGCTTTCATGACTAGCAGTGGAGCTTCTTTGCAATGGGATGAAGCCACGCTTAAAAAATATTCAGTCAAGGTAATCTGGGAATCAATACGCACTCCTCATGAGTTAGTTCATTGGAACAAAGTGATCTGGGGCAAACACTATTATCCCAGGAGGATCAGAATCTCGCACTCATCTTTTCACACTATGTTCTTACTCAGTGTGGATATTACAACAAATTATGCAGCAGATTTGTTGTGTGGTTCCTACTTTCAACAACAGGGAGGATCATCTTCAATGGGGGGTTGATCGTTGGAGTGGCTAAACTGATTTGGCAGTTGCTGACAGATTTTTATGGCTTTTGACTTTAAATCATTTATGGCGCGAGAGATACAGAAGAGTTGCTGGAGAAAGTGATTTGTGTCCCCCTTATACTTTGTTATTGAAGATTAGAATTGATGTTCGCTATTTTATGACAGGAAGTGTACAGCTTCAAGAAAGCATTAGAAATGTTTCCCCTTGATATGTAGAGATTTTCTATGAATGTATAGAGGATAGGGCCATTGTCAAACACTTGAGAGGAGTTTAATGCTTGTTGGCATCTCCTAAGCTAAATGACAATTTTTGATTAACCATAAAAAAATAGAGTAAACTAAATTAGATAGGAGAAATTGGTAATTGTTTGGGCTAACGTTAAGTATGGTACGAACTATTTATAATTGATTTAGTTATTTTTACTATTGGTGGCTTGTACCTAATTATTTTGGTTATTGTTTAATAAATCATTGCATATTATTTAATTAATTTAGCATTACTGCATGGCTTGTACAAACAAATTAATTGACGAAATTGAATTATTTTCTCTCATTGGAAAGCTAAAAATTAAGACATTTAAAGTAATAAATTTAATAATGCTAATAACAAGACATCAACAATCTTACCTCTTTTATTCTATTTAGGAAACACAAAACAAAAAATTAGTTATATTATATGGTTTGAAAAAAATCTAATAAGAAAATAACTATTAATATGATTGTTTAATAATTTCCCCCACATGATCAGTTCGTTCCTTTAGCCTTTTGAGTTAAATTTTAAAATATGATTGTTTTTTATCCATAATCAAAACTCCATTGATAAATTTTCTATCGTTTTAAATTCATAATAGAAATCCAATAATTTGTGATAGTAATTAGTTATATACACGATGCAGATCCAGAGGCTCCCGTAATTTGATGGCCTTGTGCCAGTGTTCCGGAGTGTCTGCCAGCACATCTTCAGGGCCTACCCTAAGTCCATCATTCATTAGATAAAATCATGATATTGGTATTATAGTAAGTGGAAAGAAAAGAACTAATGAAAAAGAAAAATATGATTTAATTTTTAATTGATTCAAAACAATGATATCATAAGGATTCCATGATGGTAAGTGACCAAGTATCAACTTTTGGGTGCAACTTGTAACTCATGCAAAATTTTAATTAGAATCAACCAAATTAAATAATCAAGAGGAGTATGACAAAGAAAAATCCTCTCTTGCACTTGCGTTGGAGGGCTTGCAAATATTTATTCAACCACAAAACCAAAGTCGCGGCAAAGCACGACAAATATTCCTCATTAGTTAATTGAAGATATATGAACTAAATAATCTGAACATACCAATTGTATAGATTTCACACATTGAGTTAATCTTTTAGGGAGAAAACCTTAAAACTATTTCTATTCGTAATTAATCCGAGCCTCCACCGCCTTCTATCTTTTACATTTCTATAAACACAAGCCCGAACTACGCAGAAGCTTTTCTTTACCTCCACAATAGTGTTTTTAGCTGGGAAAGAATACACAATGATTAATTGAAGTCGTGAGAGACAGAGAGGATAACAACCATTAATGGATTAGAGTAGCAGTGATAGAATTGTTATAATTGAGGTGCCTAATTGACATAGAACTCGGCGTGATTGAGAACTCACTTTACCTTCGCTGCTAATAATCCAAAGTCAAAACCTGAAGTGAGCTATTGTTCTATTGCTGGCGATTTTGCAAGAACCAGACGTTGCAATGGTAACTAGGACGAACCTCCCATCAAAGAACTGGACTAGAAACACAAACAAAAGTTCGAGCCGAAAATGGATGCAACTATGTTCAATAAGACACACTCTTGGTTATGTTTTCCCCGATGTGAATTCAATAATGATATACCTTTCCATTCATTACTTCCACAGCGAGATGGGCAGACTCTTCACTAGCAAACCACACATAGGCGAATCCTAGTGACTCATTCGTTCTCTTGTCCACTATGAATTTCACTGCAAACCCAAACAAGACTCCTTCCATTTCAGTTTAGAAAAAATTTCCAACCCCAATCTGAATAAAAAATAAGTCTCTCTCACCTCGGCTGATCTCTCCAAACAGGGAGAACACTATCTTCAGCCGTACCTGGGTGGTTGACAGGGCTACCCCTTTGATGAAAATGATGGTCGGCGGAGACGGAGAGGATTCCACGGGTGATGAGCTGCCGGAGATGGCGGAGCAGCTGTGAGGAATGGGGTTTCTGGCTCTGCGCAGTGAGATTTGAAGCTGGAGGGGAGGGGAAGTTGGGGGTTGTTGAAAGGGAGACCAGTCAGTGATGGGAAAAAATTGGGATGTAGGTTGAAGAAGAGAGAGAGATTGGAATGGGGTCGGACGGGACATTGCGGTTGGAGACAGGCCGAGCACTCCGGCAAAGATACAAAGCTGTGCCTGTGCGAGTGTGAAGAGGTCCGAGCAGGTTTCACGACACAGGGAGGATAATTAGGATGAGCCTAAGATCTACGATTTGTTCGCCTGTAGGCTTTAAGGCCCATAAGTTTACTGTATATCTGATACTAGCTTTTACCTGACCTGTTGGTCGGATTAATTTATGTTGTTTGTTAATATTTTATGCCAATCATTTATGCTAATCAATTTGTTTGTCTTAATGGGTTAAAAATTTATGGTCAAATAATCATCTATTTGTCTAAAACAGTTATGGTTGCTAAGAGCTTACACTAACATATGAGTAGCTATTACAATGACCAAACCTCAAGTCCTCATAGTATTTGTCTAGAATTTGATTAAATAAAGTACTCAATGCCTCAAATATGCAATCAAATTTTTTTTTTAATCAAATGGATTGGATTTAAATGGATTGAATTATGTGGATAATTTGGTGGATGAATTAGATTGAATTTATGGATTTGGATCCTAATTGCCACCTCTAAATTCTAATTATAACCATGCTTGCTCTCATTGTAAACCCCCCAATGAAAATCAGATTGTGCTTCGAGTAGGACTTATGCCATACTCTCCATGCTAACATCGGGGAGTTATCAGTTGGACAACCCAAAAACATCACTAAGCCATAAAGAAACAAAGCACCAGCTGAAGGTATTGAAAAAGGGAAATGCTAGATCGATTAGGGTTCTTAGAGAATTTGGGCGAAATGAAAATGAAAGAGTGAGGCAACCAGAAGGATAGAACGAGATTTTCGTTCCTTGCCTTTAGCTCTTTCGGTCTCCAAGATTGGGCCCAAATATTCCAAGCCCACAAATAAAAATAACAGACACGGTTTTAGAAAAGAGGCCCACTTCAGTACAGCTTGCGGATTGAAGACTGGATCGTCTTCTTCCTTTGCAAGAGAAGGTTTGTACTGAATTTTAGTTTCTCATTTATTCGGAATTTGACAATTTTGATGTTTTAGAAATCGAAATATGAATCCAAATAGGAACATATCAAAATATAGATATGAGAACCAACTATACAGCCTCATTTTCTTTAATGAGCCAATGGTTCCAAAATGTATATCTCCAAATGATTTAGAAAACGATTTCAAAAAGGATCATATTATTACTTTGTGTTCCCAAATGATCTAAAAGGAAACAAAATTTGCAACCCTTCAGAATCAGCATTGGAAGAACAAAGGCTGCAGAAAGATGAAATAGGTACTAACTATTTCATTGCTACATTTCTCACGGCAACATAAAACTGAAACGTTGCGAGGGAACTTCACACTAACTCATGCTTTAGGTTATAGGGAACTCACAAAAAGTCGTAAGAGAATTTAGATATTATAATTCATTAATAGGGAACTCATATCATAGACTACCTGTGATATTTCAGCAAGTAATCGTTGCCCTAATTATCTGAATTATCAATGCAAAGCCTCTAAATCCAACAGAGCTCTAGGTTATTATAGGGTTTGGCTAGTGCATCTAAAACCAATTATATGAGAAACAATACCTCTTATAGACGTTGAGCAATGACAAATGGTAGGAGTTGTCCTCTCATCTTCAATAGAAATGAAAATCTGCTGGGGGAAAAAGTATCTGTAAATGTCATAGATTTAGAAACACGGAAGCATGAGAAGTAGAAAAGCAAAAGGTAGGCTTAACTTCAGATATTTACACACTTGGGGAAGGACGGGCTTCAACATAACAGTCGAATTGGCTCTGTAAATCGAAACCAAAAAAATCAAAATTTCCATATACAAAGAACACTAACAATAACCTACCAATTGAAATTGTAAATACTTGAGCAGCCCATTTACAATCTTCATCCCGTCAACAACAGGGAAACATGTATTGGTGCTCATTCACAGCCACCAAAAGGATCTTTCTGCCATCAATTCCGTCGCCCGTCGTACCTTCGTCTTTTTTCGCTTACTCCTCTTAAATTGGGTCTTTGGATCGTTCATGGACAGTAGAAAATAGGATTAACCGCATCATTTTATTATAGGTTAGCAAGTGCTGTGGAATGAGAAAAAGATTAGGTAGCACAATTTTTTTCAAAGCAGTTATAATATAAGTTGTATACTTTGATAGTTTTATGATATGAATCGTATAATTTATACTATTGGTTTATATATTTTTATCATTTGATTAGTATAATTTCTACTTTAGTATGATCTGTATACGAAGTGATTACGATTTGGATATTTTATCACATTAATTTATATAATTTTATCATATCATTTGTGTATACTTTGCCTATGCTTGGTCTGGATTTTAGAAGTGATTTTCGGTTTCAAAAGCTGCACCAGTGCCAAACACCTTTAAATGTTCGATTTTAAGAAACCAAAAAGTGTTTTTGAGTAACATAAAAGTAGAAGCTCCGATTTGGAGCTTATGCAAAAAGCTGTTTTGAAAATACAAAATTATCCCTACTATATTTTAATTTTATTCCAAAAATATAATGTTGTTTCATTTATATCATTATATAAATAAAATAAATTATAAAAATAAATTACTTGATATAAAATAAATTTAATAAGAACCATATTGACTACTTTTTATTGTTTAGAATTATTTTTGATATTTTATATTGTCAGTTCTTTATAGTAATTTTATATAACCTTTTATATTAAAAAGAACTTCTAATTGTTTTTCAACCAAACACCTTCATTTTTATTATGTAGCATATATGGTAAAGTGACACTGCCCCGTAGTAGAGATCCCCCAAAAGTAAGAATGGAAGGAATTGGTCAGTGTTTGGAGAGTGGTTTACACGATTTATTGAATTTATTATGTAGTATAAAATTTAAGAATAGAAGGAAGTGCCTAGTGTTTGTGGAAAATGCTTTATACGATTTGTTGAATTTATTGTAGTATAAAAGTTGATTTTATGAGTTCATTTTATCGTTTGTGTTTTGAATATGTGTGATGTACGGATATGAACGATCTGACAATGAGGATTTTTTTTATTACCCAGGAATCTCAGCACCACATGTCACTTTGTGACATGGCGGGTCCTACTAAATCTGTAGGCCACCTGCAATCAAATTCGGCGCCAATGGGGTTCGCCATGAGCAGCCTTGTACCTCCGGGAACACGAACGGGCTTCACTTGGATTCGAACCTGGGATCTGCAACTCACAATCTTACACTGTCACGACAGCTTTACCGTTAGGCTATCTTACCTTTGGTAAAACGAGGATCATTTTGTATGGTCATTGTTTGAATGGTGGCCTCATACTTTATCCTTATGTTTAGTTGCCAACAAATCTCCTTACTAATAATTTGTTATTATTTTGCAAAGCACTCCGCCTTCCTTTTGGGTAAAATTCTGTGTTTTAATAACCGGAGTGGACGTTGAACCGGAAATAGGCGTTGCTTTAGGGTTTAGTGATTCATCGTTATAAACCCGTTTGTTAACCGGTAATAGAACTGTTCATGATATATAACATATAAAACATCTATAATACATTCATTTAAGAACGAATTTATCATTGACTATAATATGTGGTATCAATTAAATGGAAAAAATCCCAAGTTACACACGTTTTTTTAAAACAAAATCTCAAAATACACACGTTATGAAAAAAATTCACAAACTACGCATGTTTGAGTATTCACCGCGGCAGAGCAAGGCGGTGATTGCATCACCGCATGAGAGGAAGGCGGTGATTGAATCACCGCTTGAGAGGAGGGCGGTGATTGGGCACTGATTGCATCACCGTTGTAAAGGAAGGCGGTGAATGCTTCACCGCATTACACGGCCGTGGTGAAGGCTTGACCTGTATCGAAACTTTAAACGAACGTAACTTTGTGCTCGATAACCCCATTTTCCTTATCTAATAACAATCATCTATTTGTCTCCCACTACATCCAATACAAACATGGCATAATAAAAGTCATAATTATACAATACAAACCCGCACATTGTACAACAACCCATTCATTAGATCGCACACCAGAGTTCAAATATTTATCAAATAAATAATTAAAACATAAAAGACTACAAAAATCCAAAAAAAATTTTGTTTAACTATTATAGTAATTGATAATTATAAATGATATTTGCAAGCTTGCAAGAAATGCAATTGCATATGAAAGTAAAAAAATGTCTAATAAAATGAAGATTTTTTTATTTTATATTAATTTTCTTTTTACTTTATTTTTTTGTAATTTAATATAAATTTAATTACATATGCATTTACAAGTTAATTGCATTGATATGGTAAATGAAAATGATTTGATTTGGACCTTAGCGGCACCAACATTTGCGCCATCCTTTTAGCTTGCTCCATCCACAGGGGAACACCCAGAGCACTAGAAATTCAGCCCAAGCCATCAGATGTTTGATATTCCAACGGAATACCTTCGATCCTAACCCAGATAGGGAGATAAGGGAGCTTCATATCCAGTTGTTGAATTCCCCGACCAACGGCGGAAGTACACAAACATATTTTGACAATGCCAATGACCACCCTCGAAAACCCAGGTGCTCGTATTAGAATTGTGAAATTGAAAAAGGAACAAGGAAGTTTTTTTTTACAAAGGGTTTGCCTATATTCCACTTTGAAAGAACAAGGTTACAATGAGGGGGAAACAAACTTAATCCGAGCAAAAGAAGGAAAAACCCCACCACCAGGGAAAGATGTTGACAAAGGGAAAAAGCACAAAAGAAAGACAACACAACAAGAACAATGAAAACAGAGGATTTCCTTACAAGAGCCAAAATACAGAGAATCCATCGCCATCTTTATAACATGAACCAAACGAATTGGAACAAAGCACGGAATCAGCTCGCCCAATACAAACATGACCATGGAGAATGAACTTTGCAACTCCATATGCCGCCTCCTGGGAGTTGTTCAAAGACAACCCATCATAGTGAATCACCGAATTGGGATTGCGTGGTGGTGGACAAGGCTGTGATCGGACTGCTCCAAGCTGAAAAAGACCATTCGGACCGGGATGAGGAGGACAATGAAAAACCAGAGTAGAGACACATCTAACGGTGGAAAAAGCCACACACAAAGACATGGAAAAGAAAAGACCAAAACCAACAAGAACACCTGCAAACCACACAAGCCGGCAAAGAACACCCGAAACAAATCCAACACTAGAACAAACAGAAGCAGACCCAAAATCACTTCCAACAACCCGAAAAAAGGGCTAAACCAGCCCTAGTTGAACCTCGAAACTCCGCCAATCAAAGCTTCACTGACTCAGCAACCAGAGGAGACTCCGCTGCAACAACAATCACCGACTAGTGGACGACGACGGATGGGCAAACGGCGAATGCATTCACCCACGAAGATGACTACACCAAGATTGGCCAGACCCATCAGTCAGATCTATGACAGAGGATCTCCAATCTGCATTCTCCGAAACCAGAACAGAGCAAGGCCCACCAGATCTAGAAAATTTGGAGCAAAAACAAGTGAAATCCATCTCCATAGGAGAGGATTGTGTAGAAAACCCACTTAGGGAATGGACAAATGCCACAAAGGGCTGGAAATGCCATGAAATGGCTTGGAGAAAGCAAAAAGATGCCAAGGAAATATCTGGAGACCAAGGGAGCAGTGCGAACCATAAAAGAGATTGGGGCTACCGCCGGTCATCAGGAAGTGCCGGCGACAGCACCGAAGGAAAAGGCTGGATAGTAGAGAGAGGACGGAGGAAATTTGAACTAGAGAGAGAAGTTACCGCGTGCCAATTGGAAGTTGACTTGACACGAAACAAGGAAGTATCGATGTGTGAGACCTTAATCGAACCATCTCTTCCCCACATCCGACTTGCACAAGGCTGAATTGACTGAAGTAACAGCGGATCAAAAAGGAACTGACCAACCAAGGCATCTTGCCAAAGCAATGCCTTATCATCGCTACGAGCTCTAGGAAGGAGAAATGCCTCGACTACCTTCGTCAACCTCGAACAATGAGCACAATTATTCGCCCCCCCCCCCCCCCCCCCCCCCCCCCCCCCCCCCCCACCAACTGCCGGAATGGCCATGAAAATCGCTTGAGAAATCAGAATAGAGAGAAATCAAACAACCCTATGAATTATTAACAAGCCAACTCATAAGTTTTATATTGATTTGCTTATAAGCCGCTAATCCAGCTAACTCGCTAGCCTCGTTGTCAAGCCAACTCACGAGTTCAAAACAAGGTAGCTCTGAGTTAATCTTGACAAGACACTTAATAGAGCAAGGTTGGGAGCCATGCAAGTCTAACAATGTTGATTTCAAATTCGCTTACGAACGAGTAACGAATGTCGAACAATTTTTTTTTCTAATTTGACATCTAGCCACTCGTGAGGAGGTAAGCCGATTTGCCACACTAATGACAGTACCCTACCGCTAGTGACTACATCTATCTATCTATCTATCTATCTATCTATACATAATATTATGGCAATTCAAAAATAAATTCTTGCCACGTAAGCACTTGGGGAAATAACAAGTTGCCTAGGTTGACCTTTTTTTTATTACCAAAAAAATTTATTATTGATCTATTTATGAAGTTATCTCTCTCTTCTTTTAGTATTTATGCTCACTTTTACTCAACATTAATAATAAGTTACATTAAGAATGTAAGTAAAAACAAGCATAAATAATAATATTTTTGTCAATTAAACAAAATATAAAGATGGAAACAAAGAATAACATATATCGGGTTTGTTTAAACAAAAAATATATGATTAAATCTTATCAAATAAATTATCTACTCATTTTAACCAAAACTTAATAATAAGTTACATTTTGATGAAAATTTTAAAGAAATACACACATAAATAATAATATTTTTGTATATTAAATAAAATATAACGGCACAAAGAGATAAATCAAGCGTTTGACAATCAATCGACTTTGAAAAATGAAATATATGAATTTATATATTAAACCTTCTCTTATTATACTTCTTTATAATATATATGTCTACCAGTTAAAATAGTTGTATATAAATAATTATTTCATATAATAAAATAATTGTCAGAATATAACTTGATCAAAAAATAATAATAATTTCTTAAGAACATTTCTATTCATCCTGATTAAATGAAAACATATATTAATGTTCTACCTGAAATTTCCAAAGGAAGAGTAATCATGTGCAATATTTTATAATTTGGTTTTTAAGTTCAGATTAAAATATTAGATTTAGATGACTTGGTTGAGCATGCTCAATTAAGGTCATAAATAATATGTTAACAAATTCTCTTTTCGGATTTAGAGTTATTGTCGAGGATTATACATCAAAGTTTTCAAAATGACTTAAGTATGAGTTTTGACAAACTTTGACTTCATACCTTAAGACGAGACACAATATATCTTAAAAAATGACACATGTGATTTGGTTGACAATAATAAAAACTTTTTCAATATCAAAGTATCAAATAGGAATTTTCTATTTTGTAACAGTAAGCAAGTTGTATTTACAGTAAATTTGTCTACAATACATCCAAGAATTCACATGTATGTGAAATGTCACAATATTTGTATGAATTCTTAAAAGTTTATAAAAAATTCAAAAAATTATAAATCATCATTAATTAATCTTATAGGAATTTAAAACTAAATTAGCGTCATATCAACAAATGGCTAGCTCTCACCCTTCCATAGTGGGCACGTTCTAATTCTTGCTTATATAATTTTTTGTTTACTCTTTAAATTACCATTATTATAAATAAAATGTAAATTAAGTTAATAACACAGAATACAACATTTTGGTTTGTTCCTATTCCTTTTCTCATACAAATTATCTCTATAAAAATAAAGTGCAACATTGAAAATAAAGAAATTTGATCAAGCCACATAAAAACAAACAATCCTCTCTTCTTATTTCCTCAAAATCCTAAGATTTCTAGCATTTCTTTTCTCTACTTTTTTTCAAACAGATACAGGAAAGGAAATAGTAAGTAAGGCATATTGAGTTTTTACTCTTTGTAAGAGAATATGAGTGTGGAGTTACATGAGACAATGATTATATGAGATATAATTGAGCATCTGTAACATATGTTTGACGATTGACTAAAAAATTTCATCCTATCATTGCGAAGATGAATTGAATGAAGTCGATGATTGCTCATTGCTCCCTCTTCACCCTTAATTTGTAGTTGATAGCTGGTCTCTTTTTTCTAGAAATATGTGGTTGTTTGCGGTTGACTGGTCATATTAAACTCTTCTTTCCATTTGTTTCTTAATTTCTTCCAGATTACAACGGCTTGATGGTAAAATTTTATGTTCAAATCAATGAATATATTTCTCTTGGGTTTTCAGTTAGTTGTTATATGGTTCTCTATATTTTATACTTTTATGTAAACATGTAATAGACAATTGGAATGGTTTATTGCTTTGACTTAGAGTATCTCTCCTTTGGTTGAATAATTGATCATTTTACTTGCCTATTGCATCCCAATTCCGTGGATGATAAAATGGAAAGCAGAGTTGTTAGGGTTGTTTATTATGTTCATGAGTGACATGCTACTACCTATATGATTATGATCTGGTCAGTAAGTAAAACGTAGCAAGGGGTTATAAGTAGAAGGGAACATATGTGAGGTTTTATAAAGGTGCAAAGGAAAAAGAAAATGATGGTGGTAGTCTCTAAGTTGTCTATGTCGACGTTCTTTCAATTTCTACACGTTTGCAATGACATTTGTTTGTTTCCTTAGCATGAACTTTTTCCTAATTGAATCTCTAACTAAAACTCAATTTTGGCCTGATCGTTTTCTTGACAACAACTATTTGGATTGATGCATCAATTGTTTTCATGAATGAAGATTTTACAAGATACAATGCGTTGAGTTTTATTTAAGTATGCAACTTTTACAATTCGTCTATGTTGTTATTAGGTAAAAAATTACACAATTGTTTTTTTGAAGGGGGTATGTAGTTCTCTACAAATATAAATTGTGTTTATATGCAATTTAGTTTGCTGAAAATATATCATTTTAATAAATTAGTGACAACTAATGGTTCTATTTTTGATTGGTTACGCTAGAACATTTTGAAGATAAATTAAATGAATAAGTAGGAGATTGATGATGTGGATGCTAATGTGTTTCCTCATCCTTCCAAAATTGCACAAGTAACTGATAGTGTACGATATTCGTGGGATTTAGAGCGCGATATAATATATTATCATATAGCAACGTACGAGAAGGGAGAAGAATGAAAAGCTCTTTGCTTTTTTTTTTATTAATTGAAACATATTTGCTTATTTAATTTTTTTAAACTTCTTTGTCACTATTGTGTACTAAAAGATTAATAATATATTATGTTTATATTCTAAATTGTGGGTTCGATAAGAACTTATAAATAAATAAAGATCTACCGATAGCTCATTTAATAAAATCAAAATTTCATAAATAAACGAAAGATATAAAAGTGTTTAACAATACATAAAATCAAGTAAGTTAGATTAATAATTCAATGTATAATAGTTTAACGTACATAAACCATAAAAAAACAATAGAACGAAAACTGAAACACCAATATGAATGTGCCGCCCAACGGGCGGGTAAAAAGCTAGTTAAAGAGAATAGGAGAAACACAAAATGTCGCCATGAAATCATTTGTTTATTGTAGGGAAAGTCTAGTATTGGTTACACAAGACAACATTAAAGAGAACAAGAGAAATACATTATAGTAGGGACCCATCGCATTCCTACATATATAGAATGGATCCATGGTAGATACAGTCGCCACTAAGTCCTTCAAAGCCACAAACCGCGGCAGATTGTTAACGATTCGATGTAGCAGAGTAAGTTGTAATTAAAAACTCTTTCTATGTTATTAGTAAAGTCTAAATGTCCTTATTGAAAAATAAAACGCTAATGCCCCTTCGGATTGGAAAACGTGTGACGATGGAAAGAGAACAAGAGAAATACTAACATTATAGTATTGGTTTACACCCTAAAATGCATGCTGCTTTCTCCTAGCTTTTGTACTTGGCCTTGTACTCGCTCCAAAGACTATCCACGTCCTTCCCAAGCAAATCCCGAAAGTACGTCTCACTATACCCAAACCTCATCTTCTCGTTCAACTTACCCACGAACCCACGTTTCAGACCATCGCAATACCCCAAAAACCCGGCAGTAACACCGTACCCTTGGTCCCACCGGTCCCCTTCTCCTAACCGAACCGGTGAAGACGTTGACTCGTAACCGGCCTTCATCCTTATGAAATCCGCAATCCCTTCAATCAATCCTAACGGTGTTGCCCCACCCCCGTTCCACTGCCACACGTGCGTCATCTCGTGATAAATCTCCGACGCAACTAGAACCCTCGGCGGCGCTGACGTGGTGGTCCCCAGGTAACTGGCGCTGAGGTGGATGTCGTTGTCGATGCTGTAGGCTATGCCATCTTCCATAATGTCGAGGAAGAAGTCGATCTTCCTGACGTGTTTTCTCTGCGTGGCATCATTTTGCTGGCGGAACGTCTTCCATATGAACCGCGTGGCGCGTGACATGGCCTGCTTGGTGTACGGAGCGCCTACGTGGCTGTCGAAGATGGAGCCGCCCGCTGATCCAGACGCGTTGTTGGTTACCGTGTAGCGGACACCGTGGACTTTGCCGTGGATGACATGGACGGCGGAGAGAGCGATAACAAAGAGAAGGAAACAGTACTTGTTTGAAGGCATTGGATCGTTAATCAATTATTGGTTAATTGTTGTGTAAGGTTTGCTAATAATGGTCGTTAATTATATAGATTACGATGGAGGGAGCGGATCAGTGCATGGCTTTGTGGCTCCGTATATAATCTGCGTTTGGGCTGTTTCTTTAATGAAGCCAAATGCTAAAGGATATCAGTAGTCAATTAAGTAATAAGCTAACATGGAACCCAAATGCTAGAAATGATTAATTAGTTAATCATTGATCCTAGTGATATTTTTTTATGAATCATTGTTAGTAGAGCCAAATGCTAAACCATTACCAGGTCAGTAAACTCGGTATCTAGGTCGTATTTGATATAAGATGATTGAAATGTTTCAATAATTAATTGTCCGATCGGAAACAACGTCATAGAAGGACGAAATTTCCAATGTATGGAATTCGGAAGTTCTTTCAGTGGTAAAACAGTGATGGGAATTACCATGCATAGTTCTTTTAATATCGAGTTCTGTAAGGTAATGACAGATCTAATGACGATCATAGAGACAAAAATCATAAGTTAAAATATATGGACTTTTGGAATTTTAGACAATATCCAGTGGCATAGTTAGGAATGCAGTTTAGGGGTAGGTCCAAAACCCAACTTTTATTATTGTTTTACAATGAAAGTCGGCATTTTGCATTTTATGAAAAATATCTAAAATATATTCATCATTAAAACTACCAAGAATGTCATTGCCCATGACCCTACAAAAAATCATTCTTGATTTCCTCACTTATTCAATTTCGAAGTGTGTTCTTAACATATATAGTTCATACGAGAAAATGCTCTATCAACACTTGCAGTGGTGATGGATAACAACAACGCTAATTTCAAAGTTAAAACATCAATGTAAACTCTCAATGCTATCTTGACACAACCATTTTTTTTAAGTTGGGCTATTCCTTTTCATCCTTGAAATTTATGTCTCAACTGTCTTTGTATCAAATATACAAAACATAAAAGGGAGGTCTTGCACTACAAGGTAATCTAGTGTATTTGCGACGATGGGTGTCAGACATATATGCAAGAGCGCAATTGATATCGACAATTCTGCGTATGGGTGAAATTTTTTTGGACTTCCGGCGGAGTTATCATCAAAGGAAGGCTTGGGAAGGGTTGCAATTCTAATTGGCAAGCCATTATATATGGTCAGGCCAACGATATTCGGTAGCAAAGTTGGGGCAGCGAAAATCTGTATTGATTGTTGAGGTGTGTGCAAAGTGTATTTCACCAAATAGGATTAGTATTACCCCTATTGTGAATGGGGCAAAATTTAGGTCTCCTCAGGTGAGCACTCCAGTTGCTCTAGCAAATACATTTATTGTTATATGTGCAAAAGAAGGATACAGTACTTGTTTGAAGCATAGTTGACATGCTAAAACACAACACCAAACTGCGACCAAGTGTAATCGCAGTCCGGAAATGCAGTAACGTGGCAAGTTCTATTTGTCAACCCGTGGTCCAGATCTACTACCTACTCCGTGATTATATTATCTAGCAAACTAAGTCGAGTGATTGTGATTTTAAGCAAAAGCAGTAAGAAAGCAGGAAATGGTTCGAAGTTCTTTAGCAAAGGAAGAGTCACTCGGGAATGAGTCCCCCTAGCTCCTTAGTTAGGTCACAGTTGTAATTAGGAGAAGAGGAAAAATTATAATTTCTTCGATATCTATTCACCAATATTGTAGAATAACAACCATCATATGGATGTTAAACTTCTTTAGTTAATGGTGACTTAGATAAAGAAATCTACTTGGGACAACCTAAGAGGTTGTTATTCTTGAACATGCTTCTAGAGTCTATGGTTAGACATGTCATGATAAGATTTGAAATAGACTCAAAACAGTGGCAAGAATATCAGGTTCTCTCTCATGGTTTTGGAATGAAAGTGACAAGTGCATTTGTTACAAACTTGAGAATGACACTTGCAGTATAAAAGACATGTTGATCTTTGTTGCAAAGACTCATGACACGAATAAATGTGAAAATCGTGTTGAGTGAGAACCTTGATAAGAAGGATCAAAGTGTTATGCTTAGAGATCCAAATGACTAGGACAATGAAAGAGATTTTTTTTTATAGATCATCTAATTGTTTGTTTAAGATCTATAAGAAATGCAAGTTGTACACTTGCCTAAATGTTTGAAGATGCTACTATAATTTTTAAAAGAGCACCAAAGACGATGTAAGAAAGTAATAACTACTAGCATCGACAGTCTGCGAGAGGCAGCTGACAAACATGAGACCCAACATAGTGAGGGTACTTGGCAAGTTTACTGATTATCCTAGTATGAGCATTGGAATTCTATTGAAAGGGGTCATGAGACACCTTAAGAGAACATTTTCGTACTATATTGGTAGGTTATATTGAAGCGGACGAGAATACCCCCAAACTCTTTCCCCGCTTCTCAACGGAGCCCATCCCATCCTGACCCTATTCAAGAAAGGCTAACCAACATTTAGCAATTTGGGGCTATTGACAAGTTCATGGTATAGATGCAAATAAGTTTTCTTCCCTTGAAGCAACGATGAGAGAGCATCAGGTGTTTATGTAGAATCTGGAGGCTCAACTGGTGAACCTCACTGAAGCCCTTACTACCCGATCTCTAAGGACACGCTCGGGCAAGCACGATCTGAGCGAATCACTACACACCATCTCGTTGTTGAGTGGGAAGGTGATAGGATATTTACCTCCTCAGCGCCATATCGGTGTGGCAATCTTTCAACCAAAATTAGCAAAGGAGACGGAGCAGGAAAATGAAGTGGTGGCTAAAACACTAACTCTGAAACCAACAGTGGCTGGATACAAGCCTCAGCTGCCTTTTCTACCATTATGCTTAAAGACCTCTTGGAGGAGAAGTTTGGGAAATTCATGTGCATGCTCAAGCAACTGCATATCAATTTTACATTCTTGGAGGCTATGAACTAGATGCCCAAGCATGAAAAGCCTCAAGGATATCCTCATGAAGAAGAAGAAGATGATGAGTGACATCTCTACGGTCATGCTTAGTGAGGCGTGCTTCGGGATGACATACGAGATCTTTTCACCCCGCTAGGGGTTCCTCCTCCGCAACTGTGGAGAGCTCAGGACCGCAGCCATCGCCGTCGTGTTGTCACTCCCATTCTTGATACATTTTCCCTTATATAAATGTATTATTGCAATGATATTTCTTATCTAAATCACAACTATTTGATCAATGAGCCTTTAATAGACGTAGGTAATGTTATTGTATTCTTTGATGCCTCCCTGGTATGTTTTTTTATGGTCTTGAAGGTGCAAAGCAACCTAAGAAATTTGGATAAAGCATTAAAGAACTCTGGAGGACCAAAACCCTGATAACTCGACTAGGATAAGGTCTTTCTAACTTGGGCCCGAAGCAAGGCCTTCTGGACCTCAATTGGGCTTGGGCCCATGAGTGGCAACTGGAACTACCATTACATTTCTTCGTGGGCTGCATTCCCTGGTCCATAAGCAATCTCTGATGAAAATTTCTCCGTGATTTGACCAAGTCTGCTTGGGCAGCGGTTGGATCCAACACTAGACGCCACTGGTTCATGAATTGGTTTGCTCTGAGTCTTCTTCCATTGAGCTTCTGTTGGGCTTTACTCGTGGTTACTAGTAGGTTTATCCGTCATTGGACCTTATTTTTTACATTAAAACTCCATATTCTTCTCTCTTTAGATCCAGTAGTTTGCCATGGTCATTCAAAGCTTATCCAAATCCTCCTAGGTTGTGTTCGCTATTTTGGTGCATCAACATGTGAATTTGAAATTGCCTTCGGCATTAGTACAAATTAACAACATTGTTAAATAAAAATCTAAGAAAGATATAACGTAATTGACTCTTCTCGAATACCACAATAAAAATCCCAATCAAGGCCAAAGTATAAACCTTAATTGGGTGCATTATAGGAAAGGTACGTTTTAAAAGTCAAACCCGGGCCGACCATGTACCCCTAGTTTGATTGTTTGAAACATTATCTAGCAATTGATTTTTGGTTGGAACTACGATTCAAAGCTAAAGTGATAGGAAAAGTAAATGGTGTGAACATTAGTTGAGAAGGCTTTCACCCGGGTGTTGTTCCCACTAGCTAGCTATAAATGTGAGTAAAACCGAATGAAAGTGTATGGTAAAGGTGGTTGCTAACCGTAAGGAAGCGCAACAAGTAAATCAGGTTCACTCTCTTGATCAATTGGCTAATGGGCTACAAGCCAAGCTACATAGATGACTCTCTTAGCCAATCGGCCAAGGGAAAAAACCAAGCTACCTAGGAAACATTATCGCAACCAACACAAGGTGCTTAAATGTAGTAAGAGGTATGCCCTAAGTTTTCCTAAGTAGGTGACTCAATTAGGCCAATGAAACCCATATTTTGAAAGCCTCTTTACAAGAAGGGGGTTTTCCTCTACCTAGGTCAAATTGGCAAAGTAGTTGGAAATGGAAAACACAACACAACATCCATGAAAATACCTCAATACTTGTATTCAAACACACCATACCCAAATCATTCAATTCATACAAACTTTCACATGTTTCTAGCTAGGGTTCACTAACACCCAAGTGACATAAAGGACTACTCCATGCTAGGTAGAAGGAATACACAAAGGAGAGAAGAGGAAACCATCTTGGAGATGAATGCTTTCTTCCTTTTGTGTGGAAATCAACCTTGAAGGTGAAAATTCCCAAAACCTTGAGCTTGGATGAAACCCTAGCCTCCTTCCTCTTCCTTGCTCGTCGCTTTCCTTCTTTAGAAGTCTTGAAGAAGAAGAAGAAGAAGAAGAAGAAGAAGAAGAAGAAGAAGAAGAAGAAGAAGAAGAAGAAGAAGAAGAAGAAGAAGAAGAAGTTATCTCACTAGGCTCTCCCATTTTCTTCCTTCAACTCAACTCTCTTTATATACCCAGATCGAAGGCATTTCACGGTCCCAGTTCATGGTCGTGAACATTGGCTGGGGACCGTGATCTTCAACAAAAGTGCACCATTTTACTTATGCACTTCACGGTCCAGCGACCATGAGCTAGTCAAGGTCCTGTGAGGTGTGCAAAAACCTTATGGAACTGACACGCTAAAACACAACAC